CAACTTCACAGATCTGACATGATGAGTCCTGGCGACTTCGTCAGAAAACTTTATTTCAAAGGAGACGACAATGACATTAACTGACTCACTTTCAGCTGTTATTTCAAGATAAAACTCCTGGAATTCTGAGTTCCGTTCTTTATTATTTTACATCTAAAGTTTTTTAGTATAATCTGCATTGATTTGTTCAGCTGTTTTTTCTTTTGGTTTGATTTTATAATTGGGGTTTGTTTTATTCTGGTTCTTTCGTGTGTTGGACGCCAGGAAATGAAGCAGAGCAACCCACTGTGTGTAGCTAACGGGATCCCGATAAGAAATGAAATAAAGAACATACATTTAGAAACTGCACTAGTTTAAAACAAACTAATTATTTTGATTATAAAATTTGAGAGAAAACCAATAAAATTTAAAAAAATGAAGAAAAAGGAGGAATGTGAAAAGTCATTGTAGTTCAGTTACAGCTGGTGGATTCATGGCTCAGCTGGAGGGGAAAATGTGTAGACCACTTTGTAGTGTTGAATAAACAAAACAAATATGAGAAGCTGTGATCAGGAGGACAAAAAGGAGGGAAACGTTTGGCTGATTACTTAAAATATGTGTTTTATATAAAGAGCAGGTGTTCAATAAGACGTTTTCATTCTGCTGTGTTGAATTCTTTTACTTCTATAGTTGTTGTCACACGCACACCCATGTGTCCGAGTGCTGGGTGCTGCAGGTTCTGGATCTGCTGGTGCTGGCCAGCCGTCACTGATCCAGACAGAGCTTCCGAATCCAGACAGAGAGGACAGGTCGGTCCCAGGCAGAACTCTGAGGAAACACACAGAGAAATCCCTCCTGTTAACAGATCCTGTACGAGGCGGCTCCCCGTCTGCAGCGGCTTCCTGCTGTGAGACTCACCTGTGCCATAAGAAAGAGCTGAGCGTCGACGGGTACCGCCCATCCCCTGCCCAGGTAGATCGCAGCAGCGATGGAGACGGAGGGAGTCACAGCGTTCTGAGCGGTCTGAGAGTTTGATTTATCTCTGGTTCTGCAGAAAACAAGAAAAAGGAAACATCTATATAGATCCCAGAAACCATCTCAGTGTAGTTTTACATCTCCTCTCTCAGGCTTTCTCTGGAGCTCAAGTAACAACAGGTCTGTGAGCCAATCAGAAGAGAGGAGCTCCAATAAATCCAAAATAAAAATACAGCAGATTTCAGGTAAAAACACTCAGAGAAACCAAATCCTGCAAGGTTTGGATGGGGGTCCAGGTGGCGGGGCTTAGTGACTGCTTTGTTGTGACATCACCAAAGTTCCAGAACTTCTGACGGCTGGTTTTAAAGGCTCAGTTTCGTGAATACAGGCTGTGCGCATTTCTCTCTGTGGACTGAGGCTTGATACTTTCACAGTATTAATATAGAAGCTAGAGCTGATCTATAATCACACTACTACTTATTGTTTGTACCATAACAAAAGATTTGTCACTCAAATTTAAACACAGGGATTGGAGTTCAGCAGGAGACAGAGGGAAACAACAACAGCTCCTCAAACCAGAAAAGAAAGTAATTTATCAAAACCTTTGTCTTTGTTCTGTTGGTGCAAAATGTTGAATTATAAGATGCATAAAATCTGTAACATAGTGAAGGTCATTCAGCACTGAACAGCACCGGATTTAACAGCTTCTACTTACAAACATAAAGTCAAAGTCCTCACACTGCAGAGCAGCATTAAAGCACAAACTCAAATTATTCCATGATTTCATTACGAGAGAAATCAACACAATCAAAGTGACATAATAAAAAGCTGGAGACACTCACTATGTCGGCATGTTTGTTGCACTTGTTGGAGGGGGGCACAGAGTCCGGAGGTCGGGGCTTGCGCTCATGCTCATCTGAGGAGGACTCTTGTCTGCAGGTTTTTGGAGACTCCTCCAGGAGACAGGAGGCCGGGGGAGGGGCAGTGGCCGCTGTAGCTGCCGTTTCCTGGGGAGGGACACGAGTTGGAACAACAGCTTTATTATTATTGCAGTATATTAAGTTTTATCTGTTTATTTCTCATTTCATGATTTTTTAGTTTGTATTGATTAAATGTTTCACATTATTTATTGTGGTATATTTATTCGATGTTACTTTGTCAGTTTTGTTCTTACTTTTTTGTGATTTTTATTAATTCTTCATATTTTATCAAATTATTTCCCGTCATTAATATTTTATTGATCGCTCTGCTGATTAGTTTTCACAATTAATCGTTTGATCTATAAAGAATGTATAATTATAATAATACAGTCCAGGGTGACGAACAACGATCCAACAACGGTTATAAATCCTGACATTTAAGAAACTGGGAACAGGAGACTTTTTGTTAAAAAAAAATGATTTAATTAATGAAAAGATTCTGAAAAAGTGTCATTGATCAATTACTGAACATATGAGTTTGTTAACTCGATCATGATTAATGATCACTGTGGTGCTGCTATCCTCCAATCAGGACTTCCTGTATAAACAGACTTTTAAAACAACTGAGGCCTTTTCATGGTTAAATAAAGATGTATAGAGTTTATATCAAAGCGGCAACTAATGATTATTCATTATCAATTCTTCGATTAATCGTTTGATGTATAAAATGTTCATCAGAATTTAAAGAAATCTAAAGAATGTTTGACATTTTAACTCTGAAGTGACTCGAGTCACTGATCATTGAAATAGCTTTCAGTTAATCAGTAATTTGTCATATTCTGTCAATACCCAGTAATCAATTAATCAACTACTTTACTTGGTGAGTGGTTTATTGCAATCTGTTTGTGCTCCTGCAGCCACTGAACAGAATGAATTTTACAGGGATGTGACACAGAAACTTTCACAGCTGCCGTTTTCTATATTTATTTGTAATATTTCTATTTATAAAAATATATTTGATATTGATTTTATTTCCTTTAATGAATGACTATTGATTGTTGCTGGTCCGATTGTTGACTTGTCTGTAAAGTAAATTTCCTTCGTGATAATAATAAAGTTCTTTTTTCTCTTCTGAATATGGAATAAGTGACAGTGGACCGAGGAACTCACCCACACTGGAGACCACGGTCAGCTCTGAACCATCAGTCCTACAGACAGAAACACACCGTCAGACATCAGACGTCTCTCACACACCACACACACACACACACACACACACACACACACACACACACACACACACACACACACACACACACACACACACACACACACACACACACACACACACACACCTGCATTCCCAGTGCTGGAGGGCCGCTGAGGGGACATGCTGTTTCTCTGCAGGGAGGGGTGTGTGTGAGAGATGGGCAGCAGGTTGTGGTTACTCAGACCGCCCCCTATTCCAGGGTGGGAGTACAGGAGTCCGCTGGTGTTGCTGCCTGGGATGGACACCCCCATGTCGTAGTTGGAGGGGGGCAGACCCTGCTGGACAGTGAACACTACTGGTTAACACATGACGCCGCCGAGACCTGAACCCATGAACACGAAGCAGCTGTGAACTTACGCAGAGTCTCTGTCTGTTGATCATCAGGTCGATGTCCTCGTTGATCTTGCGGTACTTGTCCTCGGACTCTGGGCTCTGGCCCGCGGAGTCGTCGGCCTCGATGTCGGGGCTGTCGCAGCCGTTTAAACCCTTCTTACGCAGCGTCTGGACAGAAGAAGAAGAAGAAGAACATCTGGAGTAAAACATCTGTTCCTTCCTCCCACAAACTCTACTCCTGTATGTTCAATAATAACAATCATCATGATATTTTTTTTCCTTCAAATTTAATATTTCAAGATTATATGAAGACAAGTATTGTAGTGGTGAGTGTTTTGTAGTTCCCTGCAGAGTCTGTGACCTCTTCTTCATTATTTATTAATTACTGTTATAATCATTATTATTACTAATGAGCTACTGGACACCTGAATTTCCTCTAGAAGTTAAATAAAGTATATATCCATCTATCTATCTTTTTTTTGTACCTCGTTTTAAAAACTTCGGTCAGTGGCTTCACATGATGCCACTGATCAACAGGTGGCAGTGATGCTCCACGATACAACAAAATGTGCCATCGAGGGCGGAGAGGAGGAGGAGGAGGAGGAGGAGGATGTAAACAACACAGGGTTCAAACTTTTAAGAGAAATCAGTTTTACAAATGTTTTGTGAGGCAGTGAACGCACCCGACATGTTTGTTAGAGCTCAAGGCGAAACACAGGGACGTGTTCTGATGAACGTAAAAAGGTGAAAAAATATTTCATGTTTTATACAGAACTGTGAAACAAAAAAAGTTCATACGTTTAGATCCTTCTCCATCAGGAGGCGTCTGATTGGTCCAAACGAGTCCAAACACACAGAGTCAGGAAGTAAAGCAAGTGAAGTTTATTTATATTTCTATATAAATTTATTCATAAAGACCCGTCCTCAGAGAGCAGAGGAACAGGGAGTCCTGCAGCAGATGGTCTGGACCCCTGAAGACCTGCGAGCAGGTGAACGAGGAGAACTGGTGCTGCTTTAAAGGCAGAGGGTTTTTTTTATTTTCTCTTTACTGATAAATTAAAATGAATCATGACATTATTTTTTAAAGTATCCTCATTTACTTTAAATGCCTAAAACCTCTGCACAGTGCTGTTGTTTTTACTGCTTCTACTGTGTTCGCATGTGTGTGTGTTTATACGACATCTCGTCCCTCTAATTGTCCTTATTGATATTGAATTATATTGTTTGTCCTCCCTCTGTAACTCCGCCTTATTTCTGTCCTGGTTTGATTCGTTTGTCAGAGCATTTTGCAACCTCTGTTTTCAAAGGCGCTATATCAATAAAGCTATTATAATTATTATTATTATTACACATGAAAAAACATGTTCCAGACTCGTAAGGAAACACGACAGAGAGGCAACTTCACTCTACAAACCTGTTTAACATTCACAAGAATTAATGAAGAACTTTAAACCTTCAAAGTAAAATGGCAGCAGTGCATGTTTCTGCCACAAGATGGCGCCACGTGAGCAGATATTAAACAGACTGAACATCTTCATCATCCACTCCCTTTGTGAACCACATTGAGAGGATGGAACCGTCAGACCTGAGCCACGTTTCAACAGTTTGATCAGAAAAACTAAAATTAAAAAATGTTTTTCCTCCGACTTCCTGCTGTTACTGTCGTGTTTATGACATCATGTAAAGAGTGTGTGTGTGTGTGTGTGTGTGTGTGTGTGTGTGTGTGTGTCAGACATGTTGTGTGTGTGACTCAAACATCATGTCAGCGTTGTGAAATCTGTCATTCCTCTCATGCAGGTATCAGGTGATGATGACGATGAAGATGATGATGGTGTGTGTGTGTGTGTGTGTGTGTGTGTGTGTGTGTGTGTAGAGTACAGTATGTGGTTTGGCTCTCAGTGGCCTGCTTCAGCACTTCACAGCCCATTAGTCCAGTCTGTCACTGGATGACTGCAGTGCGCACACACACACACACACGCACACACACGCACACGCACACACACGCACACACACACAGGGGGCTCAGCGGTTGGGCCACTGGAGCTATCCCACTCATCCCAGTCATGTCCACCTGTTTTGCTTTAGA